CTCTTCTTTGTGGAGTGACCCTTTTCAAGTCACTTAAGCTCTTTGAGCCTCTGTTTCCTCATCTGTAGAAAGAGGATCATGATGCCTTCCAGAGTTGAGGTGATTCTGGGTGTGAATGTGCTTCCCAAACCTCAAAACACTGTACTTGCTGCATGGGGTTGGAGATGAGTTGTTGCTGCTGTTGTCATTCTCTTTAAGATCACTAGTGATTTCTACTCATCAAGGTAGGTTCTCCAGACAGTCTGGCAGGACCCTTCTCTCTGAGTTGGGTGGGGGGGCGGTGGACCAGTGTCAGGGTGGGAATGGGGTAAAGGTAAGGCGAGGTAACTTCAGCTATATTGCCCCCTTGTTGCTGATATCTGTGGTTGAACAAGTTTCAACTCTACCTGGGGTATGGGAACCTCTGTTCCACCTATGGTTTATATGGAACTGAGAACCTTAATTTTGTGCATTCTCTGAATCTCTCACAGGGTCTTGTCAACACGTAGCACATAGTACATGCTCAGGGAATTTATGCTGAATGCATGAATACATATTATAAAGGAAGAAATTGAGATTGCAGAAAATGCCTAAAGTATTTGTGGGCTCAACCACACCAGTGGGCAGAACCCAGCCCTACCTGTGTGCAGGGCATTTTGTGATGAAAGACATTGCTACCACCCCTGTATAGATTCCCACCCTGGACAACTGCTGTCTCTGGCTACATGTGGATTATTCTAGGAAGCTGGATGCTGCTCTGTGAGGGAAGGGCAGGGGAGAGGGGTTGAGGGATTGAGTCTTGTTTACAAGTTTCTCTGCTGCAATCACGATAGAGTCTCAGGGGGGTTGCCACACTGGCTCTGCTCACATACTCTCTCTCTTCTCTACCTCTGGGGTTTCTGGGTGGGCTCAGGCCTGCCCCTCCCTCACCCTAGTCCTGTCTGGGATGAAAACACCTAGGTAACACCTCTGGTAGAATCTGGCATTTTTTTTCCAATCAGCTTTGGTTTATCTTGTCTTCAGTGTCAGGTAAATCAGACAGCTGGTTATAGGGGATTCAGTCCTGGTCACTTGTTTGTCATTCATTCACAAACATATCAGTTGCCTATTGTATGCCAGCTCTTGCTATGTTTAGGGTTAAAAAATGGAAAAGACATAGACCCCATCCTGAAGAAGGTCACAGTCTGGTGGCAGCAGGTTCATAAAAATATGTGGCAGATAAATGTACTTTAGGTTTGAGGAAATTAACTATTTGGGGCAATCATTGCTTGGGAATTTGAGGTTTTACAAAGGCAGATGCTTTCATGTAAGCAAGAAGGGATGCTGAGGGGGAAGAGCTGTCTGGGAAGTCTGAGAGGCCTGCATTCATTTCTTGCTGTTCTGGGTTGTCTCTGGGGCTTCAGAAAGTCTGTCCAGAGTTCCCGAACCCTGGTCTCTTTTCCCTATTACCCACTCTGCCCTGCAATCATCTCTCCTTATTTCCTATATTCAGCTCCTCAGATTCCCTTAGGCTTTGTTATAGGGACAGGCAAGGGTCATTTGCTGCAGGTGACTGCTGGCTTTCTCAGCTGTACAGAGGAAAACTGAGAGGAGGAGAGAGGCCTGAAGCAGTGGGGAGGCCTGACTTCACTTCTCCCTGTCAGTAGCCAGGCACAGAGCTGACCCCAAGGGCAGGAGAGAGAAGCCCTCAAACACAGAATAGGGCCTGGAGGTGGTGCTTCCACCTTTACATATACTGTTCCCTCTGCCTGAAATGCCCCATTCTCCCTGCCCTCCAAGCTCACATGCAGCTCTCAGCCTCCTATGACCTCCAGTAAGACCACAGGTTTGGTAGAACTCTCCCAGTTCCCTGTGTTTCAGTCGTTGCTAGTTAAACATGAGTTTAGATGACTGTTTGACAACCACCTATCTCTCCCCATGCCTACCATCTCTTGATACTGAGAGCTCCACAAGAACAGGACCCCTGTCTGTTTCCTCTTACCAGCATGGCTGGTGCTGGTAATGAGGAGGCATGCCACCTATTTTGTGGATGAATGAACAGAGCTAGATGCCTGCTGCCCTGCCTGGTAGGGAAAGGGTGGTCTGGGCTAAATTCTGGAGGGGGACCAAACATGAGACGCTGGCAACCACTGGGAACTTTCCCTAGCCCAGCCCCACTGGGCTCCAGGGCACAGTGGGGACCCTGAACCTGAGCTTAATGTAGGGGCCTGCATGACTACACTGTGGACCCCCAACCTCAGCTATGCCCCTCCTCCCTGCCCTGCTCCCCGGGCCGGTTGCTCTCTAGCCACAGCACCATTCCCCTTGTCCCCACTGCCACTCTTTCCTGTTCATAAAGAGTTCCCTCTGCCTGAAGAGAGCCTGCTCACCTTTCAAGGTCCAGAAAAAGTACTTTGTCTTCTGGGACAACTCCCCAACTACCCTAGAGAGAATTTACTCACCTTCCTGCCCCCAGGGTACCTTGTGTCACCTATGGTATTGGACTTGTCACACTCTTTTTGCACTTTTTTCTTAAGGAGTTGAGTACCTCCAGGGCAGAACCTATGCATTATACCCTATTGTCCCCAACCCCCTCCAGCCACCTGGAGGTAGTCAAAAGCAGGGACTGATTAAGTGGTTGTTGGAACGATGACATTACTTTGAGGGTCATAGTGGAATCAAGCACCTCCCCCCTCTCGCCCCCAGGTAGTGAGGGGTCCTAGAGAATAGGCAGGGCCTAGCCTTCTTTTGCTTATCTTGCCCTCTTGGGTCTTTTACTGTCTAGCCATCTTAGGCAGCCCAGGATGACACCACCAGGCCTGAGTGGGCTCCTGGACTCTGCCTCCATCTGGGGTGGCCCCTGCCCATGCTCCCAGACCCCTGCTGCCAGCAGGCTGGCTTGCTGACCTGCCACATTCCTTCATCCCAGCCAAGCCCAGCAAACCCCTTGGTCTGTACCAGCTGGCAAGGTGGGAGGAAAGGGTAGGACCTGCTTCCTCCATAGCAACCAGAGGGTTGGAACTGACCTCAGGTATTGAACACTCTAGTCTGGTGGCTTCTGGGGTGTGAGAGGCCCCCTGGGAAATGCTGATCAAGACCAGGATGGCTGATCACAGGGCCTGGGCTTCGGTTCAGGGCTCAGCTGCAGCCTAGGCGTCAAGGGGCACATTTACCTCCAGGACAGAGATTGTGTTCAGATCTTTATGCAGGGCCTTCTCTATGTCCTGCTTTCAATGGGGACATCCTGTTGAATAGGCTCAAGGGAGAACCATTGTTAAGAAACAGCAACTCTGTAGGACTCTGACTCTCAGTCTCAGGAGGGACCTGATGGGTGTGGCAGGAGGCAGGGAGGAAAAGGGGAATAGAAGGGTGGGCCTGGGCAGGAGTTGTCTTATCTTTTCCCAGTGCTGGGAGCTATAATTGTCTTAGCCTCACTAGAGGAAGACGACACGGTAGTTTCATGCCTAACTCAGGCGCCAGAGGCTTCCTGGTCTTACCATGGATCCTGGCCATGTTGCTGCCTTGTCTTTGGGGCCCCAGGCATGATCCCTCTACCACAGAGTGCCTACCTACCTGCCTTCCCTTACTTATGTAATGCCTTTCCTGACTGGTGAAGTGTCAGGATTGGCCATGCCACTGACCTGTCATTCATTTCCTGGAGCAAATTCCTCTTCAGTCATAATCTTTACAATTTGCACAGGACTTCATGGCTTTTAGCCTATTCACATACATTATTAGCCTATTCAGTTTTTCCACTGATGCTCTGTGTGGGCATGGGGGAGTGTGTGGATAATATTTCTATTTTTCAGAGGCAGAACATGAGTCTCAGAAAGGGTAAAGTCTCAAGACTAATAAGCTTTCAAGGGAGCTGGTTATTTGACCTTTTGATTCTAAGTTAGTGCTCTAGTTATTTGCCCTAGAAACCATTGTCTTCTACACTGCTCCTCTAAGAGGAATCCCAGGTTTCCTTAGGGCAGCTCATAGCCAGGTGGGTTGGCACTATTTCCTCTTCTCTCCTGAGAGCCCCGGTGGGATGCAGCTTTTCCCACATGGGCTGGGCTTCTGGGAGCTTCCTTGGATGGGGACCTGAGCATCTGGTGTGACTCAGGCAAGCCCCATCCCTTTCTGACCCTCAGCCACCTAAGCACTAAGGCTAGAGCTTCGCCAGACTTTTCAGAGGAGTCCCATGGAAAGTGCTTGGGCCAGGAGTCATCTGAGGGGCCCCAATAAGTCACCTCTTTTCCTCTTTGAGGGGATGCTCCCTCTCCCCTTCTTGTCCCTTCCCTCCCCTCTCATTTTCATGTTAATTGTTGGGCAACTGAACATGTTGGCCAATGATTGGAGAAGAAAGATTCCCTGAATCCCCTCTCATATCCACCATTTGCTTTATCTCTTCCCTTTGTGTACTCAGCTGTCTGGGATTTATTCTCTGGTTCTCAGGCCCGTGCTCAATCCACTGGGCTATACCAGCCAGGGCTTTGGGATTTATTCTCTTTGCCTCAAGACAGTGAAGCAGGTCAAATATTCAGAGGAGGGGGAGAGAGGACAGGGCCAAAAAAGAGACCAAAGAGAAGAGCCTCACAGGCACTCTGGATTGTTTTGAGGCAGCTCTCCACCATTTTCTTTAAAAAGAATAGGAGCCAGTTTCTCCAAGGAAGTGGCAAAAGGCCCTTGTGGCATCAAAACAGCCCCAAGCTCTTAGAAAAATACCAGCCTCCAGCCAACAGAACAGAAGACAGTGGGCAAGAAAGCAGGCAGGATTCAGGGGGAGAATAGTCAGAAAGGATAGCTCTGGCCTCTGTGTTTCAACTGCCTTGCTGCTGGTGCAAAGGCTGTTGGGGGGTGCGAAGGGAGAGAACAGGGCAGGTGGGTACTGAAACAGGTAAGGGGCTGGAGTGTGGAGGCAATGCAGGTGTGACCTCTTTTTAACCTGGAGGGTGTTATAAAATTCTCAGCTGATGATGACCTCTCAGGCTGCCTTGAAGGCTCTTTGCGGGGAGACCAAGCACACCCCCCCCTCATGCAGAGGGCCCCACACTCACCATGTTGGCTGTGAGATCTTGATTTCTCAATGGCCTAGAGCTGAGATCAGCAACTCAAATCAGGAGGAGGTCCTCCCCTGGTGGGGCTCTGGCTGGTCAACAGGTCAGAGATCCTTCAGCAGCATTGGCTGGAGGAGGCCTAAATGCAGAGCAGGCCTTAGTCCCTTGTGTCAAGCATCCTTTTCCCCTTAATGATCTGTCCAGCTCCCTCTGCAGTATTATAGGAGTGCTTTGGGGACTGTGGTGCAGGTTAATTAGAACAACCCTACAGTTGAAGTTGCCAAACTGGAATGATTATGTATCTTGTAACCTGATACCCATCTTAGGGGCTGGAACAACACCTGGAGTCATTCATAGGCCCTGTACCTCAGAACAAGTGACACACCTAGATGTCACAAAAGCCTTCCTGCCTGAATTACTCCACCCAACCTGATGTTGGCTGACAATGATGTTAAAAGGCTCTCTTTCTCCTAGTTGCGTGACTTCTTCCGTGTGGATGTTTTTGTTTGGGGTTGCAATAAATTGGAGGAGTTCAGGGGTTGGGATGACAAAATTTACTGCCCAGTGGAACTTGATTGTTTCCATCTCTTAAGATGAGATAAACCTGGCCTCCAGGTGCGAAGCTGTACCATGCAGGGCTTATACGCAATGTTACCAGCCACCCAAGAGCTTCTTGCCTTTGCCTCACCAGTTATTTAACATCCTGAATATCCCTGCTGGTGTTGTGGCTCAGACCCAGGTCTCCCCTCCTGGCAGGTTCATTTCTGATTCACATCCTGCTATACCCTGAGGCCTGCCCCTGGCTGGGATATATGAAGGCAAGACCTTGGAACTGCAGAACCATGGAGCTGGAGGAGACTCAGGCAACTATCTTCTCCTCTCCTTTTGTGGGTGAGGAAGCTAAATTCTAGAGAGGCAAAGCCAAGTATCAAGATCACATAGTAAATTAGTGTCAGATTCTGAACAAATCCAGATCTTCCTCCATTTCTCAGCCTTGACCCTCTCTGGAGATCAGCCCAGGTTAGACTTGAGCATTTGCCTTTCCATTAAAAATGTGCATCCATGTGCCATCTCTTTAATTCTTACAATGATTCTATAAGGAATATTTTGTTCCCATTTGACAGTTGAGGAAATCATAGCTCATGGTTCGTGAAATGACTGGTCCTTAAATCATACCAGTTTTGGGGGCAGACTTGAGGCTTGCACCTCATTCTCCTAGAACTGCCAGCCATGTGAAGAGGCTGAATATAACACAATTGTCTGAAAGCCCCCCTACAGGTGACATCTGAGCAGAAGAAATATGAGGTAGATTTGACTGACTGTTGGCCAGATCTCAGCTGCTCAGTGCAGTGTGGCCTTGGACTTTTCTCTGAGCAGTAGAGATCTGAGGTTAGTCTGGAGGATTTCTTGAACTAGCATGGCCCCAATGCTTCTCTACTGTAGAGAAGTGTAGCCTTTAGAGTTGGAAGTTTTGGGTAGAGAACAGGTGACTTAAGGGCACAAACTTCAAAGACCCAAGCAGGCATCTCCTTTTTAAAAGAGGATCCAGCAGTGGGGCAGTTAGAGGCTAGTAGACCACCGTGGAACAAGCCTTTCTTTGCCTTTGTTCCACTATGTGCCAGGCTAAATATCTGGCCCCAGGTTTGCTTCTACTGGCTGGGCACTCAGGTGATGAACCAGGAAAGAGGTAGTTGCTTGGGGGATAATACTGATGGGTGCGGCTGTTTGGAGGGTGATTACTCAGCTCTTCTGGCTCCAGCCCAGCTTCCGGGGTTTGGGAGCCTGAGGAGAAGCCTGGGTAGGATGTCAGCAGGGTCACTGTAATGTTGGAGGAGGAGGCTGCAAGGTATACATGTAGAGGCATAGAGGCCTGGATAGAGCAGAGGGCCCCTCCTCCCAGGGTCCATGTGGGAGCAGCTGGCCGAAACCCCACCCTCACCTCTGATGAATGGGGGATTCATCAGAGGCAGCTGCAGCTCCCCCGCCAGCCCCTTCCTGTCTGCCCTGAGTGCTTTTTCTCTTTTCCACCCATCTCTTTATATCCTTCTCCTGTTTTATTCTCTTGTCTCTCTTCCCTTTCGGCCCCTTTTTATCTCTTCTTTTCTTTCTTCAATCAATTTTTCTTTTCCTCTTCCTTTAGCTCTTGTGTCCAGCACGGGAGTCCAGATGAGAGGCAGTGTTGGCATGTAGCTAAGAAAACCCAAGTCACAGAGCCCCTCCCTTGTACAACTCACCAAGGGCAGGAAGGCCCCCACGATATGTTCACATATAATTTTGCAAATTCTGCAGCATATTTTTGGGGTGTACTTTCTTCTTAAAAGGAGCCCCTCGAAATGTAAAGCTTCAGGCTTTACAAAACCTGGCCATCTCTTGATCAGGAGCATAGGCTATGGTGGCCTGGAGTCCTGTGTCCCAATCCCAGCCACTGATTGTTTGTGTGGCTGTGGGTGTCTTACTTAATTCTCCTGAGCTACACATTCCTCACCTGTAAAATGGGGAACATAACAGCACTGGCCTCATAAAATTGTTATGAGGATTAAATTTGATAATCCCTGTGAAGTGTCTGGCTCCTAAAAGAGACTTCATGAATGGAGCTGTTAGCCCTATTCATCACAGAATGGTATTTATGGAGCTCCTGCTAGAGCCAGCTATTGTGCCAGACACCAGGGCTTAGGAAATAAAAGACACAGGCCTTGAACATGTACCACATGGTCTTCTGGAAGGGATATGACTCAGCCATACATTTGACTACATTAGAAAGATGTTCTAGGAGAGGTGAAAACTCTTTGGGGGTTCAGAGATCCTTTCTCATCTTTCAATTCCCTCTCTTTCCTTCTTTTTTCTTCCTTCCTTTTCCTTTTCTCCATTTTCCCTGGAGAACATTTTTAACCTAATAAATATGTAATTTATAAGGCAGAATATTAATTACCAGTTGTTTCTGATTGCACATTTGATCTTAAATCAGCAACTATCCACCTATCCATTCATATGTGCTTGTCCATCCATCCATCCACCCAACAAATATTTTCTATGGCGTTATCAGGCCCTCTGGTTAGACACTGTGATTGGAAAAAAATAACTCTTGCCTTGGAGAGCTCAGTCTGCCTACTTACTGCACTTTCCTTATTAAAGTGGGAAGCTCCTGGGGGCAGCCAGTTCTCTAGATTCTTCCTGCTCAAGGCGTGACTGTGGAACCAGCCACATTGGCATCACCTGGGAGCTTGTTAGAAACGCAGACTCTCAGGTGCCCCCCAGTACCTACTGAATCTGCACTATAAGATCCCTAGGTGATTTGTATGTACCTTTAATTTGGAGAATTACTGTTCTAGATCTCATGCTCAGGAGTGGGTAGAGGCTGTTATTCCTGGAGTGAGCTGGATTCAAAGACTAGATCTTGACATAGGTGAGCCCTGGGGTTCTCTTTAACCAGTAGAGTCTACAGTTTTTCCTCTGAGCCCAAGTAATTTGACATCAGTAACAGTAACAGACCCTTTTGTTCCAGCTTCTCCAGGAAATTAATTGGATAAAGGCAGTTGGTGGGCGTGAAATGCAAAAGACAGAGAAGGCAATGCCTGTGTCTGGGAACAGCAGAGGCATCTCGGCTCACTGTGAGCAGTGCTGGTTTGGCTCTCTGTTGTTTCTCTAATTTTCTGGAAGGAAGTTTTACTGCCTGACAACCCTTTTTCTAAGGTGTGGTTTAGGCCCCAGACTGTAGATGGAGCCTCAAATATCTGTACCAAAGAACTGGGGAAATAAAGATTTCCTAACCCTGGCTGATTTCTACTGGGTGGAAGCTGAACTTCCTCTGCAACCCTTCCCAGGGTCAACTTCCACAGGTGTGGAAACTAAGGCTGGAGGTTGGGATGAGTGCAGACAGGTGTGTCTAACAGAATGCCAGGGCACATTTGCTTCAACAAGCCACAGAAATAAAAAGTAGCTTACAGATATTATGTGCTTCTGTGTGTCAGGCTTTTATGCCTCTGCAAAGAAATTGCATTTCCTTATTTTGTCCTTGCACCCTCTCTAGGATGTGGGCACTCTTGATACCTTCATTTTACAAGGGAGAAAACTGAGGCTCAGAGAGTGTTGGGATTCAGATCAGTGTAACCTAGGACACCCAGGCCTTTCCCACTACATCGTGCATGTGTAGGCTCTGCATGGATCATGGAGAGAGTCTGTAATGGTCTCTTGAGTCCTCTGGAGACCTTGCAAAGCCACTCAGGCCCTGCAGCACCAGGGCTTTGTGAAGGCCTGCCTGGATCTGAGGGGCAGTGTCTACATTGCCTTGTACTTTGAAATTAGTCTCAGAAAAACCATTGTCATTCAACTCTCTCCTCCCAAACTAGACAAAGAATGAATTTCAGATTTTTTTTGAGTCTGGCCTCTTTCTTTGCATCTGTCTCTAGAGGATACTCTAAACTTCATCCTGGAGCAGCCCATTAGTTTAAAGAAGTAGGAAGGGCAATGGGCTGGGAGATACTGCTTTTCATCCGATCCTAGCTATAGAACATATTGAACTTTGATGACTGTTTTCTTTTTTTTAAGAGTATGGCTAGAAATTAAATAGTATTGATGGAAATTTTATTATATTTATTTTCTCAGATAGTCAACAGCTTATACATGGGATAACCTCTATGTACAGCTTGAATTTTAACTGTAAGAGCTCAGTCACCTACCAGCTCTGACCCCTAGATGTTTTATTTAACTTCTCTGTGCCTCACTTTAATAATAATAAGACCTACATTCTAGGGCTGTTGTGAGGATTAAGTCACAATATTTGTAAAGTGCTTGCAATCGTGCATGGAACATAGTAAGTGCCATATAAATATTATCAGTGAAGTGAAATGATTATTATTTCAGTCACAGCTTAAATGAATCATTACCTTCAAAATGTATTTTTTAATGACTGTGTGCCATATATTCTGTATAACTGGTTCATTTTTGATTGCTTCAACACGCATGTTTTAAAAAATTTATTTGTATATTTTAAAATTATTTTTCAATTATAGTTGACATACAATATTATATTAGTTTCAGGTTTACAACATAGTGATTAGACATTTACATAACTTACAAAGTGATTACCCCAATAAGGTTAATACTCACTTGACACCATACACAGTTATTACAATATTATTGACTGTATTACCTATGTAATATAGCTAATATAGTCAGTGTACTTTACATCCCCATGACTTTTTGTAAGTGCCAATTAGTATATCTTAA